TTGTGTGACGTCACATGCTGGCCTGGGTGAGACGCTCAGCCTGTCGGTAGCCTTGGACGCTGGCCCGGTCACTGAGCACTAGGAGATAACTGCTCCGGTAGAAGCGTTAAGTGAGGCGCTGCCTGCCCGAAATAACCATTGATATCGCGTCGCTTGTTGTTTGGAAGATCAAACAGCTATTTTGAATTGCAGATCGTCTCTATTTAAGGTGAGTTAGAATAACAATTTGTAAGGACTCAGCTTGCGATTGATTGCTCTTCGAATTCAAAGAGAAACAAAACGACGTTGCTGCCATACGCCACCTGCATTTGATGATTTTTTTCTTCTTCCCTAAGGCCAGCAACTAACTAGTTGCCGGCCTTACCTACGCACAGCTTACGAGATATTGTCACATGTTTGCCACTTCAGCGTGCAGTTAGTGAGTGGTCTGATCTCATAAGATCTAGTCGTACGTAAAATGATTGTCGCACTGTCTGTGGCAAAACTTTTAACACTCTTTTTAACTTTTACGCAGTGGGGCTGCCTGTGGGTGCTTTTTATCATCACTCGGTGTTTTGTTGAGGCTGGTTGGCTCCCTTTTAGCCCCCCCCCTCGACTACCATCTTTTAAGTCCCACTTAGTTCATGGCTATCTTTCTTTGTGTATGCTGGCACCTCGTCCGTTTATTATTTAGATAACACTGTGCAAGCATTCCATTTATACATTTCTTACCGCGTTTTGTTGCCCTGTAACTTGACATGGAAGCAGAGCCCATGATCTGAAATAGGCACCTCTTAAATTCTGTTTTTTTATTTGTTCCGAATGGTTTGTAGGGGTGACTTCGGATTCAGAGTGCCTGCTAAGCATAGCTTGTTGCGTGTACCCCGAACCCACCACCCAAGCGTGCCGTCCAGTCCAACAGCTAACTTTGCCTCCGTCCTTTCGCCAGACAGGAACGCGGAGGGTTTTACGTGCCGCACAATGCTGCGACACGGACCGCCTCGGGTCTGGGTTGAACTTCGTTGGCCAGTTGCCAGCTGGCCTTTCCATTTCAGTCGGGTCAAACACTACGCCCACTCTGGGACTCGTACCCAGTGCCGCTGGATTACGAGTCCAGCATCTTTCCCCAACACCACGGAGGCGTCATATAGTGTCATCGACGAAAGCTCACTGGTCTCTTCCAATGCACGCACTCAACACCGGTCTTTCACTTATCCATTGTCCTTTTAAAATAAGATATTTCTTCCTTATTGTGAAACACATTGCTTGTGTACGCAGCTAGTTTAGGATCTTCTTCCGCGGAAGGCATGACGTCACCCTTGCAATGACACTTAGTCCACCCTGAGGGTGCGCCCCCGCAATACGCCGGTCTGTCTTGCGCAACCATGTGCGTGGCCTGCTCGGAGCAGCAGAGGCCACGACAGTGCCAGCCGTCTCCGGCGTTTACGGCCAGCGCCGCCTGATCGCGAGTTAAATCAGCCGCGTAAAAAGACCGTCGCCGTTAGCCCCATTGAAGCCATCAGCGGCGGGGGGGGGGGGGGGGGGGGGGGCTGCGGTACGATTGGAGCTGGCCGGCCGGGCCGCTGTCGCTGACTGTTTGCTGCAGATAGCGGCTCCACTTAGTCACTGGAGCGAGAGCCAACTGCACATAATCGCGCCGGGAAGCCGTGCCGTCTCCTAGGCCGGGTGGATGTTCAAGCTAGTGCGTCACGTGCCGGCAGAAACGGCGCCGTGTCGGCTCTGAGGAGAATTGAGGGTCGAAACACAGGCGTTTAGAATCTGTAGACGGCGCCAGAGTGGCACCAGTCTAAGATGCATAACATCTGGCCATGAGCCGCGATGGGCTCGCTGGTTCCGGTGGTGTCATCAGTCTCAAAGCATTCGAGAAGGCTGAAGTTTCCTGGAGCTGGTTATGGCTGGGGTGTGGCCACTCTATATGCCACCCTAATACGGCATTGAGTACCGGCTGTGGGCATCTTGGCACCTAAATGCTGCGCCTCTAGTTGGAACCACCGACTAATGTCTTCTGGAGAGAATATTACTCTCTGTCTCTAAGATGGCGTACCATACCCTGTATTTGTGTTCCTAAAATGTTGGTATTTCGAGCAACACTCAGTCAGCCGGTCAGACCGAGTCAGCCGGCTGCTGTATTCAGCAGGGTGCCCCCGTGGAGAGCTCGGGCCGACACAGCGGTGCACGTCGGCGGTCGCTCTGTGGATTCGTCGGAAACACTCACCAGTCGGGACCGGCTTCCTTCCGCGGGACGGAAGCTAGACACGCTCCCTTTCTTCGCAGCCGACAGAACCACTCCGCCGTCTGGGCATGGCTGTTTGCGAACGGAGACCAGCTTATCAACGCGCTCGGTCGTGCCGGCCGGTGAGAGGCCGTCGAGCAGCGCGACGTCATCGTCATGCCAGCACACGGGATGTGTCCTGGGTTGAGGTCCCCACTATCACCGGAGTGTGATGCGGCCGAAGTGGTGACGTCACCAGGCCGAAGGAGTGGCGTCACCAGGCGAGGAGAGGCGAACGCGGACGGCGTCGGCGACCACAGCCACGATTGATCTCACCGACGACACGTTTAATGGATTGGCCCCTGCCGAGTGGCCAAATCGATGCGGCGCTAAGTAAACAAACACCTTTCAGTGCGATGAAATACACCTACTTGTCTGAAACCAACGACACGGGACGTCCTGCGACGCGTGGTGGCGCCCCGCGCTTCAGGCAGATCACATGCGCAGGTGTAGGCGCAGTACGGCAGTAGGGTCTTGTGACACCCGTCGTACCCCCAGACATTGACGGGCTGCTCGATACTCGGCCGTCCCAGTCGCTGTCGTTTTCAGTGCAGCCCTGGCGGGGGCCGGCCGTGAGATCAGTTCTGTACGCGCCCGACGCCCGGCCCCGCTCGGCTGCCGCTTCTGGACCGCCACGCCTCCATCTACTGTTCGGCATAGGTCACGGGCACGTCCGGCCAGAGTGGCGCCGGCGAGGCAGACGCCCCCGTCAGGTCTGCGCCCCGCAACTTTCAGCCTCAGCCGGGCCGGGGCGACCGTGAGCGCGCTGGCATATGGGACGGCAAGGTGAACGGAAGTGTCTGTCGTCCTCTCCATTTCGGCGGCAGATGGTTCGGCGCATTCCTCTACCCTTTGGCGGGATAGTGGATGCAGATAATGGTATCTGGCTACTGTCACTGCACTTTTCTTTTGCTTAGGGAGAGAACGCTTAGGTCGTTTTAGCGTCCAGACGTCATCATCATAGACTAAACCGTTGTCACGAGCGGCCTTATTTTCTTCTATTTAAAATTACTATCACCAACAAGCTTCAAAACCTACACGCCAGAAAACAGTGCTTAGACTCTTGCTACGAATGGCCGGAATACACCGGTTGCCCACGAGTCTCCTGAGTGCACGGACGCACTGCGAGCTGCCATGGCTCTGGGGCACCACTGCCGCGGGCTGGTCTGGCTGGGGCCATTGGGCGGTGGCAGAAGCCAGATAGCGTGACGCGTGCGAGCACCAGGGAAGGAGGCCGGAGCACCTGTGTGTGGAGGCGCCGCGCGCGCCCGGGTCCTGGCAGATGCCAGTGCTCCGGAGGCCGCCTCATGTGCGCTGGAGGTGGCGCATCGATTATGGAGTCACGAGCCCCCGGCAGGCGGGGTGATCAGGCGCCTGTCTCGTTATTCGCGTGAAGGGATCTGGTTTGACCCGGTCGGCACGTGGAGAAAAACCAGCAGCGGGATGAACTCCGTGCGCCGCAATGTTCAGCGCCCAGCCATTCCTGCTCTTACACAATATCCGTGTTTACTCGACCTATGGACGGGTGCCGCCAGCATTAAGCCGATCGCTGCCGTTATGGCTGCCATTAACAGATACGCTGTGTGGGAATTGTGCTCACACGGCTCGTCCTGGAGGTTTTTGAATGTAATGCAAGCTCTCGACCATCTGAAGGTCGGGATGCGAACTCGTATAGTAAGAAAGCTATGATTTATCCTGCCCTGTGGAGTCGCCATTTACTGCCGCTGTGTTGACTATTGTAGTGTGACCTTTAAACAGGTCTGAATGTCCCGGTTCGGGTTTGTGCGCTATTGAGATCCGTTCCTCAAATCACTCGTTCTCATATAGTGGTGCTGTCGCCTGACTGCTATCGTACGAATGCACCGCAGCGCGTGTTGATTCATTTGCGTGACTGGATATAACGCCCAATTAAAACCGTAAAACAATGGGGCTCGGTAAGAACCTACATCACGTTGTTCCTACGATCTTGCAAAGCTTCCGCCGTTTTTGGGCAGATCAATACAGTTTATACTCCTTTGTGCAGGGTGCAGGTGCCTTCTCTAGCTTGAGTCTGATGCTGGGACGATTGCACAACAAGGCTTCAAGAAGACATTTTAAACAGAAAAAATCAGCCCAGCGAATTCGTAAATTTGTATGGCCATCTGGGATGCCAGTGCCGCATATGCTTCAAACGAGATGTCCTAAAGATGTATTTGAAGGCGCCTAGGTGACAAAAACCCTGCGTGTCTGGAAGATTAAGCACCCATTGATTAAAGCATCTGTGGTTGACAGGGGGGGGGGGGGGGAGAGGCTGACTGTTTTCTCGACTCTGAAAACAAACTTTATGTGGAGACAATCGAAGCCAAACCCGCGACTCCCGGTTCATTTAGAACGGTTTGTCCGCCACTGGTTGGCTAATGCGCCCTGGGTAGGCGCTTCATCCAGTTCGTCGGCTTCATCGGATCCGAACTCTGCCAGCTCGCTAGTTGCTAGAGTTTTTGCTCGGCTCCCTCAAAAGGTAAAGTTGACAAACGGGCGAAAGGACAATGGTGACAAAAGCGTCTTCAGACGGCTTGTTTTGACGACTGAGAAAGAGTTACGTCATGCATACCACGGGGATAACAGATAGCATACCGTATACGCCGGTGTCGAACATCCGACACAGAACACATCGATGTGGAGGAGCGGGGACTGGCGGATATACGATGCATGAGGGGGACGATCTGCTGACCCAGGCCCTGTCCGCCAGGCCGTCTACTACCGGACCATGCCCCGGTACCCGTACCTGCAGGAGATGAAAGATAAGCTCCTCAACTCCAGCGGCAAACCCGAAATGGAGGAAAAGAACGTGGAGACAGTGGAGCTGGGGGAACCCTGCGTGTCAGTGATCAAGGTGAGCATTCTCACATCCCAGCGGTTGAGGTGAGTACCAAACGTCGGCAAGGTTCTCAAACGTGGATCCAGGAATCCAGAGGATCGGTGGACGCAATGTTCAAATGAAGATTTGGTCATGCATGTCATGTCCAAAGCTTTTGTTGATCATAGATTCCAGATTGCCAATAAAATAACATTCAAGACAGTTGGGGGTCCAGAAGACGCTCGACAAAATGTGCGACAAACCTGGATCTTGATAGATCTTTAACAACGCATAAGGGCGTTGTTCCCGAATCCTGAAGAAAAGGTGAAGGCTAGATGATCTCAGGATGTCATTCGGCTCAATGTTAGCTTTTCCCCGTTCATCGACTTCAAACCTGCAACATACAAGGCCGTGTCCTATTGGCAGTGGATTGTAACAGCATAGTGTCATGAAATTGGTTCGGAAAAGAAGATAGCTTCTTAATGAGGACCTGCAAGGACTCGTTATGGGGGCCACTAAATAAGGGCCACACAGCAAGTTACCCAGGACTAATGACTTGTTATGGGTAACTTCTTATGGGTTTGGGTAACATCTTGTGACACCGAGCGGAGGTAAAAAACCGTCTCAGAAAGCGAGGATGCTAGAATCGATTGATGTCGTTTTTACCCTTGCATCGCCGCAGGGTTAACGCTCAAATTTTTCGGAGAACAGGGCGTCATGGCGCCAATGGACTAACGCCCTGTGGTCATCCGTCCCTCTTATCCTTTATCCTGCTTCATCCCGCATCCTTGCGTCGCCGCGCTTGTCCGGGGCAGGCTGCATGCGTCAACCACGAGTGGGCCGAGAGCCCTGTGGGAAGGGGACCCCGACCAGATAACCCGCGCGCATGCGCTGGTTGAAACTCGGCGGTTGGCCCCCCAGGCGCATGTAAGTCTGTCCCCACCGTTAACCACTTTCCTTCATCCCATAGCCCTGAAATGACCGTGTCTGGTCAAAAGGACTGTCATCCACCGCAAAGAACAAGACTCTCGCCGCCCCCGGACTCTCCCCGCCCCTACGTCTATAACCTTGATATACACGTTTGGGAAATGAAGACAGCGCAGCCTTTAAGCTTTGCTGCGGGTAGCAAATAGTTCCAAAAAAGTCGCAAACAAAGTGGACGTCATGCCCTTTACCACCGCTTGAAGATTGGCGTTGGACCCCGGCAGTTTCTTTGACAAATATGACAAAGACCATGATTCTGGAGAATCTTTCAGGGAAGGTAAATCAAAGGGAATGTTTCACATTTGAAGATACTGAAGCAAGCATCAGATGTAATCTAATGTAACAAGCTCACTTATAACTATTGGTATACTTTTAAGTGGAAAAGACTGGTCTAGACAACACAGTTTCTCTGTCAAGTAAACATGTTCCCCGATGCGCTATTCTTTCATAACGTCTTCGTACCTTGTGCCACATTGATTTAGAGCCAGTTGACGGCCGTTATATTCGGAAATCATGCTCACGAACGCCAGATATGAACGACTCGAACATGATATATTTTTGGCCTTGATGGCCTCATAGCTTATGGAATGACAAGAATTGAATGACATTATTATGACGTCATGAGCGTCAAGGTGATCTTGGAATACTCCTCCCGAAATAGCCTCCCCATTTTGACAGGCGTGTAGGTCAGAACCAGAGGGGTTTAGGTCTTAAGAAGTGCAGGACTCAGAACTGCACCGAATAGTCTTCAAGATGGCCATTTCATTTCAAACATTACAGAAATGCGGAACATTCCTTTAACACAAGATCTCAAAAGATGCTTCACAATTGTGCCTGGAATCTTTGCAGGTCCGGGATCCGTGACTCAACATGCGCATTGGGAATCTGTTTATGGGATCCACGTGCGTGGTTAGTGGGCGCTCTTACACGTGCCCTCGCCGTCACGGGCTTACGTCACGTTACGTTACGTTACGGGCCGTCTTCCCTACTTCGCTGCTTTGGTCAGGGTGTGCCGGGCTGAGGCACTGTTGTTCAATGATCGGATGCTCAGGGTTCCGTGTAAGCCCGTATTGTGTTGTATTGAGCAACTGCTGAGCCACATGAGCCGTTCGCTCGCGCGCCGTCAGAGTCAGAGTCCTAATTCGCGTAGTTTATTGTGTGGGCTCAGGCTCTGTCACTCACATGGTCACATTTATGTTGTCTGCTGCCATCAACCAGCAGTGCCCGGCGATCATTTTCAACGCTTGATGCAGACGCGTGGCACAGCAACGCAGTCAGAAGTTTTCTATACTGCACTAAATCAATCGCCTCACGGGGACTGATCGGACTGCCTTTCCCGGGCCTGGTACTCACTGACATTCCGCTGGTCACAATCCATTGCTAGCAAGGTGCTGGCTATGATAGGTGGTATCCCATTTGGTGCGCTGACAGCTACAGCGTAAAATTCGCCGTGCCCTACCGCTCTACCGCAGCAATCTCACGGTAACGTATTGGCTTTAAATTCAAGAGCTATCACAAAGGCCTCGTCCGTTGTCCTCGGACGCTCCGGCCCGACTGGAGTGAGGAAAATGCTGGCCGTCTGTTTGCTCGTCGGGCGTTTCACGATAGCCCAAGGCGCATCGGACGGTCTTCGTTTGAGCGGAGCGTGTTTGGTCGGCGCGACCGGCGCGATTGCAAATGCGCGAGGCATTCAACGAAGATAGGGATGTGGCGCGTGAAGTTTTGGTTTATTTTTGCATGCGCTGCTGTATGGGTTATACCAAGTGTATCCATGACGTCTAGGGCAGCTGCCACTTCTGCACGCGTGACAGTGCCAACTGAATCGTTGTATCAGAGTCATAGCGTCCAGTGGATTCAATGTTAACATAATGACAAATGAAGCACTTACCGCTCCGAAGATCGTGAGACCACGGGTGTGTATGTTTAAACTACACAGTGTGTCGGGGTTAGGTCGTGAGTGCTTAGGCGTTCACTGCGCCACGACACTGGTCTGCTTTGTGTTCCCATATCCAAGGTCACTCATGATCACCAGCCCGTTCACGTTCACACCTGCACTCGTCTGTCCTGTTCAGGTCCTCAGGGAACAAAGCTGACCTGTCAAGGTTCCCAGCGGTCTCCTGGCCACGTCTCCTGAACGAATCATGTACCCAGGTCCACAAGGTCGTCTGTTTAGATCCACATGGTTAGCGGTCAGGTCGGCTGGTCCGGCCTTGTTCGGACTGTGTGTCGGCGGTGCTTGTGCTGCTGCCCGGCTCGGTGTAAACAGCCGCGTTCAGGCCCGCCTCTCGTCTGGCGTCCGGGGCACCAGCGCGAGCGGCACCAAAATCAGGCACGATGCGGTCCGACGGAGATGTCAAACTGGGACCAGTTCGGCCGCGGCGCCGCTGAATTAGCGGCCGGCCGCTTACGCATGACATCAGTAGATATAAAACAAATACCGCGCGCCTCCCACGGCCGCATAGCTATCAACGAGTACTTTGACGGCAAAGTTGTCGTAACAGAAACACGGATACGTCACTCACCGTGATCAGAGGCGCAGCGAGGAGTCAACCTTGGCTTCAGGTAAAGCTCAGGTTCTCAGAATAGCCGGCGGGTTCTGGCCGGCCGAGCTACGGCGCCCGTTGGCATCTCTGCGGCCCGCCGCGCGCAGCTCCGGGGGCGGGGAGGGGGCTCCGGGGGCGGGCCCGGCGGCCCGTCCCAGGCGGGGGCAGTGCCCACCGCGGCCCAGCGGCGCCCGCCCGCCCGCGTGCGAGTGTGATTGTGTGGACCGCGGCCTCCCTCCTCCCGGACGCTCGGAGCGAGGACGAGTCGACCGCAGCCATGCACCACTCGCCGTCGCCGCGGTTCTCCGTCAGCCCGCGCCGGCTGCAGGTACGGCGCCCGGTCACGCGGCGGCCCGCGCTGCCCCGCAGCTGCCGACCCCGTGGTCAGCTGTTTCACGGGTGCGTTGCTGGCGCTCGGCCGGAGTCAGGCAGTGTGTTGTCATGCTGGGCTTTGTCCAGCTGTTCGCCAACGTGCCCCAGTTAGACGTCTGGTTGACCTGACATATTCCTGGCTTACAATGTGAGGCTTCTAGCTTACGAAGTGGGTCTCCTGGCTCAAAAAGTGAGGTTCGTGGCTCACAAAGTGAGGGTGTCATGCTGTGAGAGAATGGGGCATTGTTAACTGTAGAGAGACACACATGACAGTTGTGATTTTCACTTCACATTCCATGGGAAAACCCGCAGCGAGCTGAAAGATACCCACTTATTTGTTTATTGTTGTCACCCGTGGGCAGTCATCTCTGCTAGGTGCCAAGGGAATCAACGCTATTTTTTTCAGCACATGATTGGTGAACATTTGTTGAAAACATTTTCCCTTTATGTAATGCAGGCCTGAAAAAGACATTAATGCTCATAATGCTGAAAAACCGTTACTTGAAACCATTGCGATCAGAGCCATCAGGCCTCAGAGCACTCACAACAGAGGCGGCCAGACCCTACAAAAATGGTTGGTGCCGGTTACACAGCCTCGCTTCTGGTGAAGGAGTATCCGTGTCAGCCACTTGTCGAAAAATAGGGTCGAAAAAGCGAAAATAGTTCGAAGGAATACGATCATTATAATGTATTGACTTGCCGCGCCAGCGCTGAAGGATACAACTACCGGCTAGCTCGGCCCAGGAAGCTCCGTGCCGTGGTTTGTTTGCTTTGCGAGACGCGCATGGCCGGAGTCTGCAGCTGCCGCGTGGCGCGGCACCAGAGACGCTCGTGGCACCAGACCCGCCACAGGGTGGCGACTCATCCGTTATAAACACGGTGGCCGGCTCGGGCTGAGCCGCTCTCGGCCGGAGGAGACCGCAGCGGCGAATCAGCGTCTGGGAGACAGCTTCTTCGCGTCTGTAGCAGCCTCGGATTGGATTGTTTTTGTTGAGGCTCTTGCTTAAAAGCTGGGGAAAGTTAGCAGGATTCATTTCCTGTTCTAAAGAATTGCCAAGTCAAAAGAATGTTTTTCGTTGAGATTGTCCATTTGATTCATGCTTTTTCAAATAGAACGGCATTGAGTAACATTTGTGCTGAAAACAAACCCAAAACAAATCTTCCGCCTAGCAACACTCGTAAACCTGTTCGATGGTTGACTACATTGGTACACTAAGTAGGGGGACGAATAGGCCTGCCCCTCCCCCCCCCCTTTTTACCTCGGAGGACATCCAACCCTAGTCGAGTGTTGACTCATCCACGCATAGCGTGGAGGGCTCAGGCTATTATTTTTCTTGCCACTGGCGGTCCTGGACTGCCACCCATGTCGCTCTTGGTTGACAATGATCAACCTTAAACACGGAGATGCTGCAAGGAGATACACTGATACGTTATGAAATAAACATTGGGTACATATCAGGAGCAGAGCACGCGCCACACTCGTCCCACGCTCGGCTCTCACGCCCGTGGAATGCGTCACGGACCGTAATGGGTCTTCCGAGAAGGGGATGACGGCATGAACCGCCGCCTGCTGAGGTGCCTGAAATAGGCGGGCAGACGCCAGCTCATGCTTACGTTGATCGTCCAACTGGAAATCGCTTATCGCGCAGTGTTTGTAGAAACTGAGACGCGTTTCGGATATAACGGCGGGTTTCTTAAAGTTTTCGCGTTGGCTGCCCTGCCCACTCTGTCTTTCTCGCCCCTTTGTCCCTGCTTGTTCCTCTTCGTTTCTTTCAGTCGCTAAATTTACTCCCGCTCTCCATTTTCGGAAACCTCTCGCTGCCCCACTTCCCGCTCGCTCTGCCCGCTCTGGCCTTTCCTCCAGCGCCCCCATTCTCGTTCCTTCCCGTCGTTCCAGTGCGGCAGGTGGTGAGCTCTCACAGCGGCGTGTGCACGTTTCTGCACGTTCCTCGGCGGCGCCGGTCGGCCCCTGCCCGCCACCTCGGCTCGGGTGGCGGCCGGACCCGCGCCCGGCGCTGCTCTAGTTTCCGAGTCGTCGCGCCGCCGGTGCCGCCGTCGGTGGCACTGCCTACCGCCGGCCCGCCGAAATGGACGGGAGTGCTCCCGTCGGACTGGAAACGGCGCCGGCCGCCAGCTCTCGCCGTCGAACGCGTCGGACGGCCACCTGGGGATGGAGAGCGGCTGGACGAGTCGAACGGGGACTCATGGAGGATGGGGAGTGGCTGGACGAGTCGAACGTGGACTCCCGGGGAATAGGAAATGGCTGGACAAGTCGGACGGGGACCCATGGTGGTGGGGTTGGGGAATGGCTGGACGAGTCGATCGGGGAGCCATGGGGGATGGGTAATGGCTAGCCGGGTCGAACGGTAGCCTGGGGATGGGGTGGTCGAACGGGAGCTCGCTGTAAACGGTCCAGCGGAGCCACGCCTGCAAGCATGTCTCTGTGGACAGGCCAGTGGGGCTTTTTCACAAGATATTGTACGATGCTGGTGTCTGGATTATCATCAGAACCAGCGCCGTCATTGTGAGGGGTCTGCTACCCGCTCAGTCCTCAGCTAGCGTGCGGGACGGCGGCGCGTGGTGGAGGTGACAGTGGGATGGTGGAGCGGCCCGCTTGCGCTGAGGCCGCGGGACGGACCGGCGCTGGGTACTGTCAGCAGCCCCGTGTCAGCCGACAGCGGGTGTCACGAGGTGTCAGGTGGGTGTCACGCGGTGTCAGGCGACCTGCCATGCCGCGCCATTTGGCCAGGCTAACGCTCTGCGAGAAAAGACCGGCCGCAGCCCGCCAGGGTGGGCGATCGATCCGTCCAGCTGAACACGAGGCCGGTATGTGTTTCATAAATTGGAGTGGGTTAGATCCAGACCCACTATGCATCCAGCAATGCAGTTGAAATGAAGGATGTTAACATATATATGAGTGGGATGAAGCGTATTCTGTAACAGAGCAAAATCGTACAGGGCCTTGTTATGATGTTATCGATATGAGCACGAACGCGAAGCTGTCTTGATGGACCCATAGAAGGAAGGTACTCACGGCTGGGTAGTGCGTGCACGTCAAAAAGTCAGAGATACACGCGGTCAACAAAGCACACGGGCTGAGGAAACAAGATGCAACAAGACCACAATCATGCCGAAAGGGTTAGAATGCTTGCATGCACACAAACGTCATGCAACTTGTATATTCCTGAGCAATCTAAGTCTAGTGACTAGAGCACTCCAACCACTTGGTCTGTGTGTATATGTATGCTCGTTAGTCAATATTGGGTCCACCCTTGGCATGGTCAGGAGCAGAACTTCTTAATAACCGTGTACGTCGAATGCCTTTTTAATGTAACCTGAGACCCATAGAGTAGATGCTGCTACGAGTGACACCCCATGACGCTCGTGGTTTAGATAAGAGTCCTTCCGGTGAACAATGGTTATTTGAGGGCGATGCGTCTCGGGAGGGAGGTGGGTGATGGAGCGAGACTGCAGTCCGCTGAGAGACATGCGCCGCGGAGAACCACCCCGCACACCAACCCCGTCTGGGATTTGTACGGCGCTCGGGTGAGGCTTCCACCAGGGCGACACCCAGCCGCCTTGGGTTAGCACCTTGTCGCGGGCGGCCTAACTAACCCCGTCTGGGATTTGTACGGCGCTCGGGCGAGGCTCCCACCAGGACGACACCCCAGCCGCCTTGGGTTAGCACCTTGCCGCGGGCGGCCTATGTTGGCCATCCGGGTCCGTGGAGTGGAAACGCCACAGAGGCCCCGCTCCTCTCCACTTCCCCCGTGAATCACTCGCTCACCTACTGGCGCCCCGCCACCGGGGCCCAGCAGCGGCCCACGAACTTGTCAGACAGCGACGCCAACATACGATCAAAGCTAGAAAACAATGTCGGTGAAGGTCGGGCGCGCGTCGTCCGTCGCGCGGACAGCCACCTAGCGGGCCTTGTCGCTAACTAGAGGTTGCTCCCGGCAGCCCCCAGAGGTGCGGACTGTTAGGCTCGGCCGGACGACGTGCCCCAGATGACCGGAAGTGTCGCTCTCCGAGCCGGAACCGCTTCCGCGCCGGGAGAGGGGGGGGGGGGGTGCTGTTATTGACCCCCGTTAGCCGTGGTCGCCGTCGCAGCGGGTCCGACGGCCGCAGTGGACGTCCGACCCGGTCTAGCGAGCTGCCCTGGCACCAACCGGGCCGACCAGACCCGCACCCACAATATGGCTCCCATCCCACCGACGCGACCGCGCGTCTTGTCGATGGATTAATGGTCCGCGACATTCGATGAACCAGGGGAAAGGATAGAGTGGGAGAGCTGGACCACGTGATTAGTGGACCAACCGGAATGATTTATGTTCCTTGTTGGCGTTTGCAGCTGTAATCGTAAAAAAATACGTCAACGGAAGCCGCGCGCCTGCTTTAAAGTCGTCTTTCGGATCTGGAAATTACAGGATAGGGGTTGTGTGCAAGATTTCAGACATAAAGACTTGTTCTGCTTCAGTCAATATCCCAATTTTTATGGGTTTCCGCAGATACTGCAAGCCCGTCTTGCCTATTATTTAGTGTAAGTGCTTGCACTCGGACACCCACGAGTAATGGGTGTCATTATTATTGCATGTGTATGCCCGGGAGACTGGGCCGTGGTGGTACACCATACCACGGTGAGAGACTTCCTGCTCGGCTCTAACATGGCGCTCGTTCTTAACGACCCGCTGCTCCGTCATGTTGCATAACTTGCAATGACTTACCGGCCGCCGCTCCCCTGACATGTTCATCTCGCCGCAAATACACACTTCAGTTGTGGAATATAAATACGATGAGGCTGGACACCAGACAGAAATGAAGCTACAGCCTCTTACGGAACTTCTCTCGCTGTCGAACCTTGTAAGGGTTCCCTCTTGGACAACCAGACTCCTATAGGACTTCAAACCTGACGTTTTGAAACTGTAGAAGTGATCCAAGTCTCCCTGTATGAACCCACCTGTCTTACAAAGACATTAAACAATTGTTAGGATGTTTTATGCAAACGCAAAAAATTTCCCGAAGTGCTCGGGATCATGTGTGCCAAAGCATAATGTCGGAAAACTTCTGCAGACAACTCCTGATGCCAAAAAGCCAAGGGCCCCAGTTATTATTTCCGTATATCAGGTGCTTCATGCGCAGTATCGATATAATGGAGGTGAGACCTGGAAGAGACGTTAGACCTGATTCGGTTGGCACATGAGCATAAGAACATGACATCAGCTAAGAAGTGTGGGCGTCTCACTTAGCCGCATCTTATTCCACACGTGCCAAACTTGTGGGAATCGGGGCCGAGAAGCTGGCTCGCTCCCAGCTGGATACCGTGTGGGTAGACTGGCGTCCCGCCGCCGCGTCCCGCGCGGCGGGCGTGCCGGAGCGCTGAGGTCTTTAATTGGAGGCGCCAGTGCTGCCAGACGCTGCTCTCAAACACCACCTGCCGTGCGTTTCAGATGACCCCGGACCGTTTCGTGCCAAGTGCGATCGAGCCAGCCACGCCCAAGAATCCAAAGTGAGTATCATCTCACGTCTCCAGGATGGCCGCAGCTCAGAAGGCGGTAACCGGAGCATATGTCAGATACTCTGGTCTGTATCGATGCATATTTGCTCGATTTAATGGAAAAAATATTGTTGAGGTTAACGTCCCAGACACTTGGCCCCCGCTCCCGGTCACTATGGTTAGTTCTCAAGATGCATTCTCTTTTAGCAACATTTGAGTAGACTTTCGTGCAACAATTTTCAAAACATCCCACAGAAAACGGACCAAGAGTCGTCTGAAAGAGTATATCAAAACTGATGCCATGACGTCGCACAATTAAAAACGGTGACCTCCATTGCATACAAGAGGTCAGACTCACGCGACCGCACAATGTGGCATCCCTGCAGCGTGCGCGGCATTACGACTGCCCGTCGCCGCTGTTGGACGACCCAATGTCACCCCTTCGCACCTCACGCGAGCCGCTCTCCCTCGCTCTGCCCGCTCCTCCAGCCCCAGCACCCGCTCTGCCCGCGGCGCTGCCGGCCATCACGTCCGATAAACATTTCACTCAGTGGCGGCGCCGGCTGACGACAGGCCGGCTGTTAATCGGGAGCCGGGAGCTGGGAGCCGGGAGCCGGGACCAGTCGCCGAACGACCCACTTCCGGCACGCCGCGCCGTTGCTGGGCTGGGCTGGGCTGCGCTGGGCCGGGCCGGCCGGTGCCCGCAGGGGGTGAAGTCGCGCCCGCTCAGGGCGGCGCAGACATGCGGGCATGGGCTATCCGGTACCTTCCCATGTAACTGGAGCTCCAAGTTAATGTCGCCTCGCCTGTAAGTTGGTGTTTTTGTTTCACGCCGAGACTCGCTGGTGGGCGTGGGGCTACCGCGCCAGACTGGAACCAGCCGGAAGCCGCGGTGTTAACGATCGGTGGCAACAGGACAAGCTTAGCGGGGAGCGAGCTCGTGAGAAACGGGAGATATCTCACTGCGCGCGAGCAAGCCTGGAATCAGTTTGGACACCAAGCTGCCATCGCCGAGCCAGTTGCCCAGTCTAGATAAGGTCGCATGCCAGACCTCACACGTACAGCCGAAGATTACCACTTGTGGCTCGCTGGTACTTTGTTCCCATGATGCGCAATTGCGGTAACAGGTAGAGTCGTTTAAGCTCACCGCTCTCATTGCTCGTGGGTTTAGAATGGCTCAGTCAGACGCCCTCCCCCCTCCTTCCGCTGAACGATTTGGCCACACAGCCATGTGGGGAGCCAGATCAGTCAACACTAGACGTCAGGCTTGTCTGGTTCCCGAGTTTTATCACTGGCATTGGTTCCTGAACAAGAAAGGGGCTAGACCCTGGGATCCAGTATGAAAGAATGCTGAGAGATCCAGCACAAACCAAGATCCAACACTGGATTTTGCAGAGGGATCCAACAAGAACAAAGATTCTGCCGGGGATTATGCCGAGAGACTTGAGGACGTCACGTTAGCTACTTGGATGACGTCAACCAGAGCCAGGATCCCGTTTTTTATGTAAAGGATCCAACAAGAACCAGCCTCGCGTTTCACTGAGCAGTTCAGCAATGAACTGGATCTAACCCGTAAAGTGGGGTTCTTTCCCCACGTTTCGGCAGATTTAGCAAATACATATATGTCATGGAATATGATGCAGAAGGCTAATAACTCGTTACGAGATCTGGTAAGTCAATGCAGGCGCAATAAATAGGTCACCATGAAGCATACGTGAGTTAACATCATTGGGCCTCAGGATCCAAGTCCTGCTTAGGCATGGTTGTATAAGACCTTAATGGGATCCATGTACTTCCGCTGTCTGCTACTCAACCGGCATCCGTTCTGAATTACCAGGATGTGAAAATTGGTTTTAGCGGTAGGACACGTGGGAACCGGTTTACGATGCTTTGTATTTGGTAAAGAATCAATGACACCAGCATTAGGGTTTTTTTGCGAAAAAAAACGGTGGAAATGAAACCAGTGGAAATGAAACCAGTGGAAAGACCCTGGGTTTTGGCCCTGGCGAAAAGACCAGTGGAATCCGGGGTCCGAGATACTGTATTTGCCAAGCAACCATGAAAGCCAAAGTTTAGGATGTTTACGAAATAATCAGCCAGCATTCGGATCCAAAGTCCCCAGTGTTAAAAAGCCCCATGACAGCCAAAACCCGTTGCCCAATTTTCGTGACAAGCCAATGACCGCAGAGTTCCTGGGTGTGCAACTCACAAGTAAACCAGTGAGAACCAGGATCCAGCGCTGGAACCTCGGGTCACGTCTGGACCCCGGCCTCCACATCCTATGTTCCGTGAGGCACAGCTACCGGGCGCCGCCTCGTCGGCCAGCACGGATCGGGCATATCCTCTGGGAACGGGCCGACTCTGTTTGAAAATCAAACAAGACCGGCTCCAGCTGGATTGGCCTGTTTTGACGTTCATTAACAAGTTTGGCCGAGGCTCAAGGGCATGGGAGGTTGTTGGCAAGCTATTTATATTTGCACACGTGTTGTTCACGTCATCCCATCCTTTGAAGTTTTCGAACAAAACGTGTGTGCAATACGCGCGTGCTTCTTCGCGCACGCATAGGCACAGGTAACCTACAAGTCGATGCCAAAACAAACGGGCTGCCTTGCGCGCGTTCTTCGTCCCAGAACTTGTCTTTCAGTCCCCTATAGAATATGCTACATTGTATACCATCAGCCAATACATGCTGTCGGTGTAATGTACTGTACAAATCCTTGACCGCTGCTTGCAGAATGTCTGGGCACAACATTGATTAGAATGCTAGCTGCTTTCAATATTGTGGCACCTGCGCCACGCCTCGTTCAGTTACCCGTTGCCGAACATTGATCATGAACAAGAAATCCAGCCTTCATTGCATATCAAGCGTGTTTCTAGTTTGATATTGCAGTTTTCCTGGTAAACTTCGTTTTACCCGGTATATATTACCCTGGTCTTGCACAACCTGAACATCCCGTTATAATTTTGCCGTATATGTAACCAGAATTCAGAGCTTAATTTAGCTTGGTATTTCTCTCCACGGGTATCGTGTCTTGATTGCAGACCAGTGCTATTGAAAAAGGGTTGTATGCAGCCATTTCTTAGTTCATCCAAAATGTAACATGTTGTCTTCTTACCCCTCACGTTTTGAGCTATGCTGTCAGCGCTGACGTATGCAATAATCTATTTGTTCGTTTGTACATTTCGCATTTCATTCGTATACCTATTCGTTCGTAAGTATTCGTTCTCCAATGCATTCAGAACACTGTGAATGCTATACCACTTTGCTATCTTCGTGGCCCTGCGGAAACAGGCTTGGTTCTTATATCAGGAACACTGGTTATGCTGCGTGCCACAAAATCATTCGCCCTGTATAGTAAAGGAACACCCGCGTTAACGGACGGCGTTTCATGGATGGACGACACGAAGACCAGAAGTCCTCATGGGGACTATTAGGGACAGTTCTAGAAGAAAAAAACATTCCGTGCATGGCTGTTCAGCTTTTAATCAAGTATGCTCCTCTCTCCCCCGGAACAAAATGTTAGCACATTCAACCGCTTAGCCTCGAACCTGTTTGAAATTCCAGACCTTCTGGAAGGTTCCTGATGATTTGGGTTTACCCAGGTGTGAAGAAGCGCCTCCAGTGGATGCATAAGTTCACGCTGTGTTATTATAACATTTTTTATTAGTAGGATCGTGTTTGGTACCATGAAAGTATGGGGGGGGGATGTTTCACAAGTTAAGCTATACATTATATACATACCACATTAATTGTATCGATACGCCATTTACCAGCCAAATGATTTTATGGCCCGCAGCATAAAGTTCGACATTCGGATAAACGAACCAAGCCTGTTTCCGCAGGGCCACGAAGATAGCAAAATGCCATAGCGTTCCCAGTGTCCTGAATGCAACGGAGAATGAATACATACGAACGAACGAACGAATAGCATAGATGACGACATGATAGGTCATGGCTGTGTGCTGTGGACGGATGTGTGTTTGGGGGGCGGAGGGTACGTATGTGTGTGTGCATGCTTTTTAGTGACCATTCTCTCCTGCCTCATGAAGGATCGATAAGATTTCACATCGCAATAACAAAATCTTCGTCTAAAAATTTTACATGCATAGCCATGAGCCTTATACAATACACACAATAACCAATACAGCGTTGAACAATGCACCGCCTGGCCATGCATAAATAAGCTAGGTCTTAGTCTTAGCTCCTAATCCCGTCTTTTTCTCCCGGTAGGTCATGTCGAAGTCACAATGTCGGTCATTACACAAAAAGAAGGTATCTCCCAATCATTACACACATACACAACACCAGCCATCTGCATGAAAGGACCCCGATGCAGGTTGTTACATGACGGGCTAGGGCAAATACGCCAGAGTTTTTCCATGAGCGGTGTTTCATGGTGTGCAGCGATTTGCCAATTTTCCTGTGTTGATGGTATTTTGGTGTACTTATATGAAGTTTAATTTTACATCAGCATTAATAGTTGTGACAGTTATGATGTGCTATTTTATAATTAATGTGCATTATATTATCATAGCTATTCAACTGCATATACCAGCATATTGGTCTCGGTCAATTATGTAATAAGATGCATCTCTGCCAGTACCCTTTAATGGCTCGTGTTGTATAGTTGTGTGATGATAGGGCTTGACTTTGCGTGAGATTACCGACCATGAGATCCCCATTACATTTTAATGGCTCATGTTGTATATTTGTGTGATGATGAGGCTCGACTTTGCGTGAGATTACTGACTATGTGATTCCCAGTACACTTTGATGGCTCGTGTTGCACATTTGTGTGATGATAAGTGCGTGAGATTATCGAGTATGTGATCCCAGCATGCCCCATCCAATGGACGGGCGTAGTTAGAACATTGACCTACGCTTAGGGACGGCGCGGCGGATTTCGATTGAGTGTGTGTGTGGGGGGGGGGAGGGGGAGTTTCCAGACCGCCCACTCTGCTCCCTCTCCCCGGTTGGGCCGCCCCTGCGTAGCTGATTTATGTATGTTTAG